CAAATCAGGCGCAATTTAGCTTAATATCAGGTAGATCTACAGCAGCATTTATTTGTTGATGTCGTGTTAGAATCGAAAAAAAATATCCAAATCGGTGATTTTATTGCTTGATAAAATCACTGTTTGTCGTTCGGATGCGCATCATTATATCACTCGGGCTACGCCCTCGTGATATACTTCCCCGCATCCGAACTCAAAACAGTGATGTTATTGAGCAATAAAATCACAGTTCGGGATGTATTATTTCTTAAACAACGCACCATATGACTCAATCGCTGTTCAGGTATTCACAAAATTTCACTGCAAAGTTAATTTTAAAGATAAGAATGTATTGAAAGAACCTATCTGCTGTGAATTGTTCTAGAATGGAAATTCACATTGTTACTGGGCCAGGAATAAGCAGCAGAAAAAGGAAAAGTTCTGCCAATTGACACCAGGTTATTTATGAAAATCGGTGATATTTACTGATGTAAAAATCTAAAGAAAAATAAATGTTTTCTGAAAAAGAATAAATGGAATATTTCTAACGAGACTAGTAGTATTTTTCATTTTCAGTTGCATATTTCGATTTTGTAAAATGTATATATTTCAATCAAATTAGTCGATGAAAAGATGGGAATTCATATTGTAAGAAATTTTCAAAAAATGTCGTTCATCATGCCTACAATGTTATTTTTAAATGAGGCACAGGACGCAGGAAGCAATCTACTAGATATGTCGAAAAAATAACTCCACTTCTGTGTAAAAATTCATTGTAAAGGTATGCTGAAAGGACAAACATTCTTATACGAGTAAATGAGATAATGAAACAGTTTGTTTTACCTCCATTTTGGCATCCAAGAATCCACTTTTGCCTATTTGGTGAGCAGTCCACTCAGTTCTCGCCCACTTTATTTTAACATAAATAAGTCAAATTTGAGGCAGAATTATCGATTTTGTTTATAAGTATACTGCCGTAATATCCTAGTAAAACGAGACCAAAATATATAATGTTTAAAAATAAATATATTATCGAGATGCTTTAGAAAACTTCAATTTGTTGGACAACCCCTGAAAGTGTCCAGCCAAACAATCATGTCTGCTGGCGCGTAGCACATATTTAGTCTGGAGGCCAAAAAGCAAATAAATGTTATCATTGTCATAGTTCTTCCGCCCAGAAATGGGGTCATGAAGAGTACACACATATTTTAGAGTGCAGAAACAACACAGAACTATATTCTCCAAAGAATTACATAAAACCAGTGCCTGTACCCTTTCCCGAATTTAAATCAGACTCAACCAATATATTTTGATCCAGCCAATGGATCTTTTCAAATAAAGTTCTGTATCACCGGTTTATCGATATAGTGTATAGTTACTCTAAGAAAGATTTAAATCTAATTGCTACAAGGTTGTAATAGATTGATCATTTTCTTTACATAGAAACATGTCTACGTCCCAACGTGGGTTTTGATAGTTTGAAAGATAGATAAACATGAAATTTTGGGTTTAATTAAATACAAACAATAACAAAACATGTGCTATTTTGATCATGTTTTCATAAAGCTAGTGCTTATATAAGACTTTTACCTAAATACAGTAGTAGAGAAAGGAAAGCACATACATATGAAAGCATCAAAACTGATATTAAATAAACTGATTCTCTGCTATGATTTTTAATAAATTTACTAGACCCCTTTAAAAGATGCGATATCTAATGGTTCTGAAAGTATCAATGAATAATGTTCAGTAGCAACAAAAAGAGACCACTTGATGTAAACTCGTGTCTATACATATTTATGATGACGACGATAGAGTAAGACCATGGTTCCCATCTTTCTAAAAAAAACAACAAACAAAACATAAAAAAATCACATGTCCCTTTTCACTTTTTTTAAAAAGATTTTGCACTCCCTCCCATCTTCCTCTGGCCGCTTTTCCAGCACCCTGATCCATTTGTTGGTATTTTGATTGATTGTTTCCTTTGGTGTCCATGTTTGTTCTGTGTTTTCCTGTTTTGAATTGTTTCTGGTAGCGCTCCGTCCGTGTTTTGCCTTTGAGCACTCTCTTTCATTTTGGTTATATGTCCTACTGGGCTCCTTGTCGGTGATACTCTGTTGCTAGGTTCTCTTGTGGATGCGTTCCTTGAATTCTGACCCACCATTTTAATCTTTGTTTTCATAGTTTTGTCATAAAACTCAATAGTTTTGTCATACAACTCAATCTGCCGCCAACACTGTATGCATTGAAGCAATTTGCAGTATTGTATTTATTTTTCTTTTACTTGGCATAATGAAAATTAGATACAGTTTAACAACAATGCCGTTACGATAAGATTCGTGAGATACAATGCACTGTTATATTTCAGACATGTTAAAATTCGTTTGTTTGTTACTTAATAAAGTTGGAAAGGAAATGAGCCTTCAGTGGATTTATTGTAAAATTATGAATAGGAACTTCAGTGCAATTAATGATGTGATATATATATGTGTAGACATATTATCTTAGTTTACTGTATACCAAGCCTTTCACTGTCCAGCGTTACAGAGTGCCTTTACATTACTTTGCAACAATTTATTTAATTGATAAAGATATAAAATTTTAATCGACAATCATTTAAACCAACAGAGCTTTTAGGAGCTTAAAACATAAATTATACAGCATCGTTCTTATTTCTGTTAAGTGAAAGTACTTAACAAAGCGTGCATGTGGTAAAGTCTGCAATTTTCTGGAAAAATGAAGAAAAAATGCATTTTTAAATGTGCACCTAAAATGCACCAAACACATCCATGTTTTACAAGATTTTTTTCAAAGAAAAACTTATATAATGATATTAAACCCTCGGGAGTCTGAAATTTTCAGGGAAAGGGAAGAAAAGTGTATTTTAAAAGAACACCTAAAATTAATATGCAAATTTGATTTCTTCCTAGAGAAGAACCGATGGACATACTGTTCCTTGTGAGTGGCCATGTGTGTGTGTGTGTGTGTGTGTGTGTGTGTGTGGGTGTGTGTGTGTGTGTGTGTGTGCGCGCGTGTGTTTATTTCAACTTGAGCATCTGCAGGCGAAATTTCTGAATATTAATTAACCTTCCAATTCTGACTGCAAAAACTCAGAAATTTTGATAAAGCCTTCACAAACTTAACTTGATAGATAACAACATAATATATAGTTCTGCTAATTATATAAGTCTTTTAAACTACCAACCTTCATGTACAGAAGCTGCCTACTTACCTACCTAACTATTTGTATCATCAAATAAAATTATCTACTCTTTCTGTTGAAAGTCAAATTAAATTACTTCCGTCCGAGAAACAAGCCTTTTAATGGTGTATTTCGGTAATATAAAAAGGTGATTTCGGTAGATCATCACAAGGTAGCAATCTGGATTACCTGCCCTTTTCTTGCGGCGGGAACCAGACTACACCACTAAATACCGTTTTCCGGTATTGATATCCCAAAGTGCTCCGATATCCCATTATAACCGAAACTAAATACCAAATTAATATTTGTAATACAGCCATCGTAGAGTACGCTACGGTAGGTATATTATTTTAATTAAATTAAGATCAAAAGTAATATTTGAAAACGGTAGCATTTTTATTTCATTATAATATTTGATCTGTCTTTAAAATGCTTTAAAATAGAAAGTTTATTTGATCATTCAACGCCTGGATCCATGGCCTGTCTTATTTTAATTATCAGATTAGTGGATACGCAGAACATTTTGTTAACAAAAAGCATATGTAAATATGTGTGGTTAAATCTATTGTTATTCAAATAAAGTGTCAGCAGGGATTTATCAACCGTAAGTAGAATATACTTTTTATTTAATTGTACCGTACGTAGTCAAATTAATATTTGCTCTGTTAGGCGCCTAGTCTGGATGCATGTAAAGATTATTTTCTTCTTTAAGTTGACATGGAATCCTAAAATTTTCTTTTCTTAGTAATGAAAATGATTTTCCTTTTTCTAAAAATAGTAACTATGTCTATTTAAAGTCCATCTGTATTTAGGTACTGGTGCTCGTCCAGTCTTGGTGCGTATATAAAAAATTGAAAAAAGAGAGAAAAAAAACACACAAAAAACAACTATTCTGGGTTGGGTGAAAAAAAAAACTCAACTTTTTTTTTCAATTTCAATTTTTTTATATGCCTGGACGAGCACCTGTGGATGAGACATTCTGCTAATTTGTGTATGGGCAATATATCCCCTCGAGAAGCGAGAATTAGACCCAGAACAAAAATATATCACAGTCTAGTTTTTGCAGTCTATTTTAAGCTTGGACATTAAAAAAATAGAGGTTTATTTTTAGCTGTCAAATAATTTTTAAACCATATGTTATTTTTATTTGGTCAAATTAAATTTAATTCAGCTATTTTTGTTAATGAATTTGATTAAACACTTTTTCAGAAGTATCAAATAAAATCGAAACTGCATTAATCTATTTTAAGAAATTAATGGATTTCCATCTTCTTAAAATAGATATTATTATAGATATATTTATAGTATATGGGATTCCTCGAAAATGAAGTCATATTCTCGAAAATGAAGAGAAGGCCTTTTATAAAATATTGGCGGAGAGTCAAAAATTGAACCTTTAATTAGGCCTTAAAGAAGTTTATTTTAGGTAACCCGACTGAAAAAAAATCCGATAATTTTATCGACCGGGTGTAACGGAATTTATACCGTAGGCCCGTTTTGCAATCGCAACTACTCGGCCCTTTCCGTCAGTCTTCGGATAATAGATAATAGCCGAGGGTTCCGAATGACGCAGTGATCTCCCCTTATCAGTACAGAGATACATGTCCCGCGTATTAGCTGTCTGCAAACGCTCGTTTAAAAGACATTTATTTGTAATAAAACTATTACCAAGATGCACAGTGTGTTGTTTCCCAAGTTTTTTTTTATTCTATATAATGTACAATTTAAATATTTGAATTTGGACATGAGGATAGAATGCTCGAGTAGATATCTAGTCGAAAGCATGTACACCGTTTGGATACCGGCTTGACAAGCGCTCCACGCAGAGCCGGGATCAGGTCGACAGAACGTAAAATTTACTTTCGGTTTTAATTAAATGTTGATTTTCATATTTCAATGAGATGTATAAATGTTTATTCTGATTGCATCTAGGAGATAATTCTATTTTCTATTGATTTACACCGGAAAAGTCACGGTAAGGTTCATTTAATAATGATTTATAAAGGTTTTATTATACAAGGGTGATCGTGTTTACATTTTGGAGTCTGCAATCTTTACTTTATTGAGACTTGATGGTATACAGTATTTTTTCATATACGTAAAAATTGTTTGAAAACCATATTAATCGTTGTAACAGATGTACCATTCGTGGTTTAAATATTAAAATAGTTTTGGTAGAGTGTTTACAGGGACATATCACGTTGGGGGGCAGGATCTGACCCCCAAGCGTCTGTGGGTTGTTTTACATATTCTTCGACTGAAAGCTGCCATTGCTTTTCAAGTTTTCATAAAGCATACGGCAGTTATTGCTCGTAGGATACTTAAATATTCCCAAATGTCATTAAGAGCAGTTTTGCATGGGGAAGGATAGCCTAATTAATTCGGCGTGAACGGTTTGACCCATTTTACAGACTTTTTTCTTACTGTCAAACCGTTACGCCTTATTTTAACTGTCATTTTTACGAACGGAAAATCTACCGGTAACACTATCCACAGGAACCTGAAATTCTATCAAAAAACAAAAAAATAACGATTTAAAAAAAATCCCATACATATACTATAAAAAAATAGTATATGTATGGGATTTTTTTTAAATCGTTATTTTTTTGTTTTTGATAGAATTTCAGGTTCCTGTGCACTATCGATAGTTTGGACTGATTTTTACTGCTTAAACCTGAAAGTAACTTCAATTACCTCTAAAGATCAATAGAATATAAATTTTAGTAGAAAAAATATTAGATTGTACCTGTCTTAACGCATACATGCGATTTATTTCAAATTTGTACTGTCTACTCTATCTTCGGCGGACATGTTATGACGTCATCGTAAAAAATCGATTCCGTGAAAGCTGGTAGTAGCCACCAGTGTGTCTAGCAGGTAAGTGTGGGTTACGCATGAAGATTAAATTAAACAAAATATTGGGGGAAATAAATCTATTCATTATTTTTTAATAAATGTGTGCATTATTAAATACTATTGAAAAGTATCATTGTATTTAACCTAAAATGCAATGGTCGCAAATAGGCTCCGTACAAGTACTGAACTTGTTTAATATTTTTTAAATATTTTAATACATGTACTCAACATTTATCAATTGGTGGTTTGCCTTCTTGTTTACTGCTAATGACTGCCAAATGTCTGACACTCTCGGATAAAATACTGACTGCATTTATACATGCATATTTATATGACAATTAAGCACGTAAAAGAAATATTGAAGGAAACTATTTGAAATACACTTCAAATTATTCAGTATTTGTACAAATATTATTTCAAGAGCTCTTTTTCACCGATTGCCGATATTTAATACCATATTAAACCTATTGATAAAGTTAAATGTCTTCTTGACATACTTTATTAATTTACTAAAAAGGAACTTTATTGTGATCCAGCCATATGCTGTGTAACTATAAAGGAAGGGTCACATGTTTTAATTGAAATAAATTTTAAGTAGAGGATATTAAAAAAAAAGTCATTGAGAAGATCAGAATTTTCAAATGAACAGATTAAGAGACTTATAAATGTATGTCTTGTTGTTCATACTGTTTTGGTGACACTTTTGTTTGTGTCCCTTGTTGTTTTATCGTCTATGGTAAGTATCTTCCCTTTGCCCCTAGTTTTTATTTCTTTATTTCGTCCCTCCCCCCCCCGAATTTCCTATCCCCTTCCCCTGTGCCCGTTAACTTAGTGGTCCTGTTTCATACTGTTTTGGTGACACTTTTGTTTGTGTCCCTTGTTGTTTTCTCGTCTTTGGTAAGTATCTTCCCATTGCCCCTAGTTTTATTTCTTTATTTCGCCCCCTTCCCCGAATTTCCTATCCCCTTCCCCTGTGCCCGATAACTTAGTGGTCCCATTAATCATTCATTTATTTATTTTCTTTGATTTCCTTCTCATTTGCATTTTAGTGATAAGCCTGACCGTGCTCTCCCTTGCGCCTTGTCCCGTTTTAATTTAGGAGCCTCCTGGGTTCCTTGCCAATGGTTCTTGTTCCTGGGTCGTGTGGGGGTTGCGTTCATTGAACGTCGCCTTTCCTTGTTCATCTTGTTTATCATATTGTATACATGTATACCGAACCGTAACAAACAGATAATGATTATCAATACAAGGTTCGACAAGCAAGCAAAGAAATGTAAATTAAACAGAAAAAAACTTATCCACATACATGTATCCACCCTCCAAAAAAAAAAACACACCAAAAACGCCTGAAACTGCAAAATCAAAACATAAATACACATGAGTGCCAAAGACGGCTCTGGTAGGTGCAAGTGCTCCCTTTCGCCGGTTTAAACAGAATTGATCACTTAAACATAATAATGTTGAAATTTTTAATCAACATCCACAGAATGATGTGTACATAATACGGCGGTAATCATGGAACTTTCAATGTGACACATTCGAGGTGCCGTTCAATGAAAAGCGGGAACTAGATAACAGGGCATTTTAAATTTATCAGAGGTTTTGGTGTCCTTTTGCGACAGTCGTTCTAACATTTCTCCCATCTGTCTTACATTGTTATGCTATTCAACGTCTAAATAACGGTCACTAATTTTCCGCTTGCTGCGTTTTTATCATAAACCCCGTCATATCTGTGCGACAATTGTATTTTACTGAGGACTGTCTGAAATTCCATTTTATAGTTTGAAAATTTTAAGATTTTTTTCTTTCAGAATTTTAAGGTTATTTTTGGTTGTTTTTGAACTTCTTCCCCTACACAACCGTCCTCAATTTCTTTTAAAGATAAAACAACTAGAAATTGATATGGAGTGTAATATAAATTGAAATTCTTCTTTGCTTTATCAAGTATAGTATAATTATAATTCATTAAGATGTACCTACAATTACATTGTATTTTCGTATGTAGGAAATCATGGCAGGTAGTTCAGAAATTTCACCTAATGATCATAGATGTTAAAAAATACAACTTAATAATATCTAATTTGACAATTTAAACGGACTTAAATGCAGTATGATCTGACATCGGACATCATAAACTATTTAATTTCTAAGTAAGGTTATCAGAATTTCCTTTTCACATTCTCTTTTTAATGCTGAAATATCTGTGTGTGAATAAAAGAGTTATTCCTGCAATAATTCATATAAATAACATAAACAAATTGTATAATAAAGCTTTGCAAATACAATCGATTGACGCCGATACCTGTGTTACACCATGGAATTTACAATTTTACCATGACACCGCTTTCCAATATGGCCGCTTTCAATAATTTTCAACGATTAAAAAATTAAAGTGGAATATTTAGACTTCTGTTCGACTTTGAAGTATGATAACTTGGAACCTTGCATAAAAAACGGTTCTCTTTCAGGTAATGTAGACCATTTCTTTGAAACTTTTCTAGTTTTCGCTCCCAACAACTTCTAATTGGGAAGCGTCCGTGCATAAAAATGCAGTTCGTGGTTGGACTTGGAAAAAGACAGCGCCCGTCCAAAATTATCTTGGTGTCTCTTTGACAAGTCTAATTAGTTGGACTAGGGGAAGTAATGTATTTTTCAGACTGTAAAAATGAAACAAAAAATTAAAGAGACGATATTTGGTGATTGGTAATTTGAATGAATAGAAGTAACTTACTGAATACACTGCAGAACCTTCCGGCATGTACGCAGCGGGAGAGAGGAGCTAAGTAATTTAGTAGCACTGTTGGAGAGCTGTTTTAAAGCTCTGTACTGTCTCTGCGCACACAACGGCACTGTCTAAGTTATTCCAATCACTAATAGTCTTAGGAAAGAATGAATGTTCAAATTGGTCACTTTTTGAGATAATAGGTTTATAGCACTTATGATGGTTTATAGCTTGGTTTTCTACAATGTTTTTAGTTATGTAATTGTCTAGTTTCTTAGGTTTAATTAGGCGTTTACCACGAATAGGGGTCAGATAGGTATCGGTGGCATAGCTGGCACCAGCCCCTCAGCCACCTTGAAGAAGAATGTCAATCGTTGCCATTTTCCTTCTGTCTTGTAATGGAAGTAGATCAAGTTGCTTCAACATCCTGGTAACGCAGCCTTGATCTCTTGATTTGTAATCCCCAGAAATAAATCTAGCAGCCTTCCGTTTGGATCGACTCAAGCTTGTCTATATCTTTCTGTAGGAATGGGTCCCATACAATTGAGCTGTATTCAAGAGTGGATCTAACAAGGGATAAGTAAGCTGTTTTCCTGCAGAGTAGTGGGCAGTGTTTAAGGTTTCTCTTGAGGAATCCGAGTGTAGAGCTGGCTTTGTTGGTAATCTTCGTGATGTGGGTTCCCAAAAATTTTAGATTGTCTGTTTAAAAGTTGACACCAAGGTATGGATTTTCATCAACTTGTTGTAGGATATGATTGTCTAGTTTTGGTAAAAGTTAGTGGATCTGTTGTTGATACTCATAAAAATAACATTTTTTGGCATTGAATTTCATACCCCAAGTAGATGCCCAAGTTTCCAGTGATTTCAGGTCTGTTTGTAGTTGGAGATGGTCTTTTCTGGTTTTAATTTGCCGGTATAGGAGACAGTCATCGGCGAAGAGACGGACAGTTGATTTAACGCAGTCTGGTAAGTCATTTATATGGCAGAGGAAGGCTAGTGGTCCGAGGACAGTACCTTGCGGAACTCCTGAGTCTACTGTGACTGGTTCGGATGCGTTTCACCGTCTACCACTACTCTCATAGTTCTGTTTGGTGAGAAAAGTCTCGAAAGCCACCGGTTAATGTTTCCGTCAATTACCATATAATGACATCTTGTGAAGTAAGCTTTCATGAGGGACGGTAATCGAAGGCTTTAGAGAAAGTCCAATATCATGATATCTATCTGAGATTTATTGTCATGATGTTGTAGTAAATCATGAACTGTGGTGAGGAGCTGGGTTTCACATGAGTAGCCTGATCTGAAGCCGTGGTTTAGTGAGGTGAGGATGTTGTTTTTGTGTTCAAGGTGGTCAAGGATGTGCTTGCAGATAATATGTTCTAGTAGTTTACAGGAGACTG